ACAGACACACAACAGACCTTTCCACCCCCCAATTCTAAAGCGACATAAATGTATGTCTAGATACAGAGTCATAGAAGTTGAAGCACAACGGTAGCCTGCAAGTCACTGGGCTACCGTCCCTTTACACGGGCGAGGAAACCGAGCCATCACAGTGGCTTTGCCCCTTGTCTGGTGAAAAGTTCCAGGCAGAGTTGTAATTAGAAACCAAGAGCTTTGGCAGCCAGCCCAGGTTTTTTCTTCTCCCTCACTCTATGTACCTCAGAGCCAGGTTTGTGTTCTTTGTGTGTGCACAGACTACATAGACACTGGCATATAGGGCACACGTACCCAGCCTCGGCAGCCTGACCTCAGGGGACACAGTTTAATGACTTGAATTTCAGGCAGCTGAAAAAGTTTCTGCGGGCGGAGGCTGAAATAAACAAGAAAAGCCACTGTGGAGATGGTGAATGGAAAAGTACCAGCCCTCCCTCCCCTCCGCACATTCTTCCACTCTCCAGCTTTCCCTGCCACCAAGCCAGCTTCAGATAGGCTTGGGCATGGTCAGGTGTACAGAGGGCGGTATGGGGAGGAAGAAGAAAAAAAAGGCAGGCACAACACGTAAATCAAGTTTTTCCACTCCTAGCCTCAGGTAGTAGTGAGAGCAGCAGCCTGGTAGGCAGGCTAGCCACTCTGAGTTTACAAATACTCCAGTCCCTTCCTCCACGAATCCCTCTCACTTGACAGTCCAGTTTCCGCTTTTCCCCATGCTAAGGTTTCATAGGAAGTGAAAACCTTGCTACTCAAAACAGTGATCGAATGCAAAACACCAAATGATCGCGTGTTCCCGTCCCCAGCACTTCTCTATTTTAAAATACAGATATTCATGGCCGTCTAAATAAGCGAGGAAAACACGGACAATCAGTACTGTGATGGAAAAATTCTTAAGTCAGGCTGGAAAGATTTGCTAAAAAGCAGCAGATGATGATAGTGACAAAGAAGAAGAGGAGGAGGAGGAGGAAGAAGAGAAAAGAAGAAGAAGAAGAAGAAGAAGAAGAAGAAGAAGAAGAAGAAGAGGAGGGAGGAGGAGGAGTGAGCGAACGAACCTGCTTTGAGCAGGAGGAGAAAATGAAATTGGCTGTAGCCTCTCCAGAAGGTGGTACTTAGGAATCTGTCTAGGTCTGTCTGTCCTCTTCTGTCTCAATAGTTCTACATTTTTGCTCTATTTCCTCCTCTTCCCTCAATGTCCCTGACTCTACTACCCCTCTATTCTTTAAAATGCACAAAAGCCTTATCCTGTGTCTAAGGATAATATACAAAGGTGCTTTCATCAGGTTGGTTTTTTGTTTGTTTTTGTTTAGTTTGTTTTTCAGGGATGAGTGAGTTCTCATACAGCACAGGCTGGCTTCCAACTCACTATGCAGCCAAAGATGGCCTTGAACAACTAATCCTTTCCCCTCCACCTTCCCAAGTGCTGCAATTACAGATATTGCCTGGCTTGTTTGTAGCAGCTCTAAATGAGTGGTCTGAAACAGAATAAAGAGGCAAACTTTAACAAACATCTCCCTGGACTCTTTAAAAGTAGTGTCGAGTTCTACAGCCCAGGCTGTGCACATAACCAAACCCAAAAGACCAAACGCATTCCCATAGGCATGATCTGGAGTTGGTTCTCAGAACCTGCTGCAGTTTACAGGGGGTCTAATGAGTCTTACTTTCTTCCATTCTGCAAGAAACAGGATATACACCCCCAAGCCCAGTCTGTCCGGTCATCCTGAGCTTCAGAAATGATACAGGGCCATCAAACCACACAGACTTCTTTTCAATTGAGACTCTAGGTTAGCAATACCCCTTCATGGGACCTGTCTAGCCTTGGGGAAGAGGGACTAGAGGAGTGATTATCTGTAAGGCTCCTTCTCCTAAAATCTACAATCCTGGGATAGGACAGTTTAGAGACCTATGGAGGTCCCAGAAACTCCTAACAGGTGGGGCAAACTTCAAAGCCTACGGGGGGGGGGGGGGGGGGAAAAGCCATTGTTTTTCCCCCCTATTGTGGGAAAGGTTTTGTGAAAGGAACTGTGTGTGAAATGTGTTCCATACTTTAAACACGTGTAATATTAGTACTGGGATATTTTATTTTGTAATAAAGCTTATATTTACCCAGCAGCTATGCTCAGGGACCCATTCCTATGCCGAGTCCATGGGTCAGCATGGAAGCTGGCCAGGCCCTCTATTCTGCGTATTAGCAACCAGGAAGCATTAAATCATGGCATTAGTTGATACAGTGTTCTCAAGTCTGCAGACATAATTCTTAGGACCCAGGGCATGGAATCACTTGTGTGGGCTCCATGAGGATAATTTAAGAGAATCCGAATATATTTGTCTCATTTTTTAAAAGTCCAATAATAGCACTGTAGAATTCAGGGAGCCCACATAGAGGAAGTGATGGAGAGAGACCAATAATGAGAGAAGGAAGGACATTCAGGAAGAGAATAAATTGGTATAAAACTTGATAAAGTTACTTTCCTAGGAATTGAGGAAATTGAAAGGCGAGTGCACAATTTTCCTCAACACTCATTCAGTAGAGAGAAAAGAAGCTCCGCAAAAAGTAGGCGCCTCCTTCTGTTCTGGTCAATTTCTTCCAAATCAACACTTTGATGGGGGGTAGGGGTTAAGAGACAGACAGAGAGTGAGAGAGAGGATAAAAAAAACAACAAACAACAAACAACAAAACCCCAGCAGGGTAATACAGACTCTGGCACACGATCCCAGGGAGGATGTAAGGCCTCTGGTGATAGGGTAATTATCTATAAGCAGGCCCGGTGGGCTCTTGCTCCGGAAACTCTTGAGAGAATCAAAGCGGGCTTGAGGTATGAGAAGGGTAAATTCCTTCCCAGCCCCCACTCTGGCTGGCTCGACTGCCTGAGGGAGCACATTTCCCTTTGCTCTGCAGCGCCCCCATGGGGCTAAGCGTGGAGTGGCAAAGGGAACACAAGATGGACAAGATATTTGAGTCCATAAGGCTTAAGGACAGGAGTCAGGGGATGAGGCACACGGCCACTTTGAGGAGAAAAATAATCAAAAATAAATAAATAAAAGCAATTCCATTTATAGGAACAACAATATAGCAAAACCATACAGTTTCTGTTGCAAAGCTACAGGAATTGAGAAACCCGGAGTACTTACTATTCAGAAAAGGTAGATAGCTAGCTGCACAAAGAAAATCACTTCAGAAAAATTGGGATGTCATTTTGGTCCAATGGGATTTATTTAATACTCTAAAATGAGAGGGAATGGTGACTCTAAATACAAAACCCAAAAGCAGCTACCCTGCTCCCCGGCAGCGTGGACCCATTTGACAGTCATGTGTCTTGGGAAGTAAAACGTTCATTTCCACAATAGTGGTAGGATTAGGCCTATGTGTATGCCTCAAAAATCCTCCCTAAGACAGCTTTTCCACCCGGACTGCAGTTATCCATCTGCCAATACGTATTAAGATATTCAGACTTCTCAGGGACAGACAACAGATTTTGTAAGTTCCAACCCCTGTGGAAAACTCTGTCAGTTCTAAAACCTATGACATGACCTTTTGAGTGGTGGTGTGTTGCTCTAACAACAGCATAACTGAAACTTCTTATAGGACCTTTCAGGGGGCAGAGATTCCCCCCAAAACCCAAACAATCAGCAGTGGCAGAGCTCTGCTCACAATCCCTATTTTAAAGCCCACATTTGGGGTTGTGGTCCCCAGATATTCATTAGAAATTAATATGTGAAGACATTTTGCAGAGCCTTTCAGAACCCATCCATGATTTAACGAGCCACTTGAAGGACTTTCACAGCTAAAGCCCAGAACAGCCTGACCTTTGAAAGCCTCTTTTGCTCCAAACACTTTGGGTTAATTCTTAAAGAATCCGAATATTATTTTTCCCTCACACCCTTCTTCCATGAGACAGACATAAAAGAAACAAGAGTCTCCCTCATTCAGCGATGAGTAGGAGGGCAAAAAGCCCCAACCAACATTTAAAGAGGGAAACTGGCAGCTACGAACAAACAAACTAGGGCCCACAGTAAAAAGATTCTGTCTTGCATTCGCCTCCTAAAATAAAGGAAGAAAGAAGGGAAAGAAAGATTCCCCCTCCTCCTCTCAGCTCTGCTCCAGAGCCTCCAGAGCCGAGAAGACCCGGCTGCGTGCAGTGCGCCTAGTTGTAGCACAGCTTGTTCTCAATACGCGCAGTATCTGTGATCCTGGCAGCCAGGCCTTTAGAATTCCCTCAGGCTGATCCCTTCAACACATACTGAAGAGATTTTTTTTCCCCAACGACCTTGAAACGAACCGGGGGTGGGGGTTGGGGGTAGGAAAAATATGCTCAAGACCTTAAGAAAAAGCAAAACACAAACATGTATTTGGCTTCAGAGAATCTTGTAGCAGACAAGCAAACACGTACCCCCACACACATTTCTAAGATCAAGAAATTTCCTAAGAGTCAACAGTAACAGAAAAAGTAAACCCACCACTTGCTGTCCTGGAAAGAAACAAACCAAACCAAATCCTTCTACACATCTCTTTCAAGTGCAGGAAAACCTCCCTTCAGTAAAAGTCCAAGAGGAAAAGGAAACTACACAAGGGCGGTGTGTGTGTGTGTGTGTGTGTGTGTGTGTGTGTGTGTGTGGGGGGGGAGTGGAGGTTGAGGTTGTCATAGGTGGCCAAAAAATTTAAGCTTCTGTCAATGGTATTAGGGTTGAAATAATGCATATTTTAAATGCCTGAGCGATTCAAAAGGGAAAGAAAAGAACACAGAGACAATAAAACCAACGGGTGACCGTTCCTACGATTTACATAACACCACAAACTTGCAAAAGGCAAAAATCAGAAGCAAAAAAAAAAAAAAATCCTCTAAATCATCAAAGTACAACAACAACAAAAAAAAGCAATCCCAAGCCACCACCCCAAAAGGAAAATAAAAAAAGCCCTCACCTCCCCCCCACACACACTTTGTCCCAAATAAAAAGAAAACAAATGAACCCACCGAAAACTGCTTGGCAAATATTTTTCTCGTGGTGCCTAATATTCTAGCTGGAAGGAGCTGTGGCATTTATTGTTTTCTCTCTCACTCGCCTCTCTAAACCTGCCTCTTAACATACTTGTTCCAACGGCTCAAATCTCTCGCTCCCTTTTGTGTATTTAGCTCGAGGAGCCGAGTTTATGGGTAGAAGAGGAAGAATTAGCCCCAGACCCCGGGAAAGCGAAGCGCACTCCCCCTCTTATGTCACCGAATAGCAAATTAGTTCTCAGAATTCCAGAGGCCGAGCTTTGCTACAGCGAAGACGGCGACGTCACGGAGGAGGAGCCCACGTGACGGCGGCGGAGCGGGCCGTTCCATCGGCGGCTGGGGGCAGGGAG